GTTGCATGTTGCATGTAGCACGTTGCACGTTTAAAAAGTAGTTGTATATATAACATCATACATGAATAAGCTATCAAATAAAATAAGTTGAAATTTCATACTTTAAAAGAAGGTAAGTCGGCAAATTAAAGTATAACATGCGGTATTACACAATTTTTTTATAAATCAAAATCCCGATTTCGCGTTATTTTAGATTGTGTTACCGATTAATCTTATGCTTTCTTTCCATTTGAAAAATAACCTATTGAACTTTAATTATACGAAGTTTTGAAAATTAACCGTGAAAAACTAGGGGTTTTCTTGATTAAAAAAAACCCTTTGAGTTATTTTGAGGCACCGTTTCTATGGTATCATCATACGCGATCAGTTTATAAGAAAGTAAATCCTTGGCCCATGGTCTTTGATGAGAATGGCGAATCGAGTTTAATACACCAGCTATAAAATTCTATTACCCACTGTTTCAAGACTTTCTAAAGCCTACGGAGGCATCTTAAACTTTATTCGATTGCATTAATTATGTTATTTGACGTCATGATAAATTTGTGATCAGTTACGGAAACATACAGAGAAGTTAGTTTTGCTTTAACAGCAATTTTCCAGGACACGTTTGTAAGACTGTTGTAACGCATATCCCTGAAAGAAGCAAAGAATATGTTAGATTAAATGTAGAAATGCAAAGGCTACGAAAATCGAAAAGTAGACACACATTGTGTGCATGTATCAATAGTCTCCTTCACTGTTCCCGACGCCATCTAGAAAGGTAGCGGTGTCTTTGCGTCAAAGCGGACGAACGGTCAGTGAGCTTGCAATGATAGAGACTTGCAAACCCAACCTACGTTTCGCTTCGATGCAAAGGCACGGCTCCCTTTAAAGATGGCGCAGTATTAGAGAAATAAAGGCTAAAAATGTTACTTAGTTCTCCAAGGTATCAGTTGCTTAACCTTCCAAGATATCTTTCTTTTAGCATCCACGTTTTGATCAACCTTGCTCTTCAGCAAAGAAATCCAGYCCTCGATTTTCGGGGAAAAGGCGCTGATTTTGATAGTTAAAAGCACAGTCCATYACAAGATTAAAACTTACAAATAATCGAGTCCTTCCATTGACTGAAATGTATTTTYATCGACAAAATGAATGTTATTGTTTCTTAGATCACTGTTGGCGAAGAAAAGCAAAGGAAAAATGATTTTTACTAGTAAATCATTTTATTTTATTTTATTTATGGTATTTAAAAATACCATATCATATTTTGTTTTACACTTTATTAGTGAAATTAAGATGTTGAGATGTTCTAGAGGTCGCGCCGTGAGAAGAGAGCAATACGAGTAAGCATAAACGTATTCTAAGATATGTCGTACATTAAACACTAAATCGCAAGTCTAACTTACATGTTTTGTAAAGCGTTGTTAGATTTTCCCATTAGACTGTGGATAAACAACAAATAAAATTAAACTAGTGAGTATGGTTAAAGATATATTTGAAAGCCTGCAACCATTTCCAAATTCAATTTCAATTTCAATTTGGAATTTTGCGAATGCTTTGTTATCCTCAACCAAGATGGCGGCTATGACGTAACATACACATGCCTATTAGTAGAGGTCTATTCTGTTTGTTCGTTCGTTTGTTATGTTATTTGTTCTTTGTTTACAATAGTTGGTCACCGACTCGTTGTTTGGTTGATTGATTGATTTTGTTCCGTCGTTTGTTTGTGTTCCAGCGTAAGCGTTTAGCAACGTGAATGTAATTTTATCATCTTACAACTTTTCCACATTGTTTGAAAACATCATTTCCGTAATACGTAAGATCATGTTGCCAGCTAAATTTCTATATAGAAAAAAAGAAAGAAAGAAAAAAGAAGCTAATAAAATATAGGAAAGTTACTAAGTTTCTTATAAAATAGTTACATTTTGATATTTGTAGGTTTTAATTTACAAACTACGACCTCTTAATGGAATGAATGCTAGCCTGATTTTTTTCACAAAGCTGGTTTGGTATTCTTAGACCGAATGCAATGATGACCGCCATTGGCTTTAAGAAATAAAACTAATCTTTGCAAATAAAAAAGAAAATTTTATCGAAAAAATAGAATTCCAGTGAAGTTAACTGAATATTAGAGAGTCCCCTTTGGATGCTTCTAGAATCGGGCACATAAATTAATAGCCCACTTCCGAGATATGCTTCGCTTGTCACACACAAAGGTTTCAGTGCGAGTCTTCGTGCGAAATGATCAGAGATTTGTGAAACGAGAAAAGAATTAATTTAATTTAGCACGTAGCCTCGTACTGAAATCTTTGTGTGTGACAAGCGAAGCATATCTCGGAAGTGGGCTATTATCCACGTACAGTTAACTTACATTCTCCTCAGTGAAAACAAGTGTTCGAAACTTTCKTCCTCGATGAACAAAATTTTATTATTTTGTAGATATCTGGAAACAAAAACAAAATCGTCAAGTAACTCATTCCCAGCGTCACATGCAAATTCATTTAGGTGGATTGAAGGCAAACACATCTAATGCAATGAAACATCAGAATTTGTTTAGATATTTGGTAAATGGGAAATGGCTATAAGCTTATTGGTTGAAACTATAGGCTAAATATGAATTCGTACTTATACATACAGGGATGATACAAACTCTTT